AAAAGTATTATAGGTTTATTAATTATTATTATCAAGGAACGGTAATTGAAAAAAAAAAAAAAAACTGGTTACGTGATAGGGAATGCAGATGACGGGTTTGTAAATGATTGCATAATTTATCGATTTCAACTTCGATATTATATTTTATCAGACCATTGCTTGTCTTTATCGCCGCGACTTTATTAAGCGGCGCTGCTTCTCTGCTTTTGTGCGAGTCATTAAGCGCCCAACCTGAAAATGAAAAATTCCAGGTTGGTTTGACTCTTTTTCAGTTTTATGCCGCACTTAAATAATACTTTGCTAACGAATCATAATGATTAGAAAAAGATTGAATTTACTCGTCTTGCATCAACGTTGATAACAAATAAATATCAACGTCGTTTAATTCAATTCATTCTTTATATGTCGTTTGAATCATTGATTATTTCATCGATTATAATATCTGCTCAAACTATGGATTCTTTGTCGATCTCAGTGTTTGGAAAAACTTGTGGAATCGGAATTTATCCCACCCGTGGATTCTTTTGTGTGTCAGAGCAAAGTAGTATAGGAAGTCCTTTCGGAAGTAGTTTTATGCTTTTAACTATTGGTTACTTTGTGAGCTTAATTTCGATTCTTTTATTTATTTATCATCATTCGTTCATTATATATTCATTAAAATTAATTCTCATCAAATATACCATAGGTTACTCTGGTAACTGTTGTTCCCTTGGGAGTTATGGAACTTGCTGATAATATAAAGGTGCAAGTTGGTGTGTTTAATTTTACCATAATTATTAATATTGTTATTTTATTTTTTTTTATTAAATATTTAGTAATGTGTCTTTGTTTTTTTTTTTTCGTCTTCAGCTTCTTTTCTTATGTTGATCTTCATATTAACAACTTGGATGATAACATTCATTATTCATGGACTCCAAAGCGATCGTGTTCCGGTTATTGGTAGGGATCAAAGCCAAGTAGTTGGGACTATATTATATAATTATGCGTTCATTACTACAGTACCAAGTTGGGTTAATGAGATGGTTTGTAACTTATTTATAATTCTGTTTTTAATCATAATTATAATTAATAATATATTTGTTTAAATTAACAGAATCCAGCTGTTTCAATCCGTAAATGTGTATGGTACTCTGTTATTATATCAACCTTTTCATATATTTCACTGGGAATCTTGGGTGGGATGGCATACCAGATGAATGCGACATCAAACATTATTGCCGTAATTAATAATTCTAATCAACGTACTGTGATTAGTCTTATTACAACTTACTTATTTCCTATAGCTGTGTTAATAACAAGTATTCCGGTATATACCATTGTCGTGCGTCTTAATTTGATTAATCATAATAATTTCAGTAAAAGTATGATTGTGTAAATTATTATATATTTATATGCGTTTAAAGTATAAAGTATTATAGGTTTATTAATTATTATTATTTTTTTTCTTGTTAATCTTTTTCCTCCAATTAATTTTGATATTAGGAACATCCATTTTTCTATCCAGCGCGTTACCTTGGATTGTTATTCTTCCTTTTCAAACCGGATTTTGGCTCAATTCGTTTATGAATTGGACTAGTTTAATTTTCTCAACCATTAGTAATTTTATTCTTCCATTTTGGCTATTTTATTTGAGTCAAACTCAAAAACCTGTTAAGGATGATAGTAATATGAATAAATCAAGTATGAAATTTAACATTTTCATATTTGAATTACTTAATTGAAATACTTATAATTTAATATTTATATTTATTGTTCGCAATATTAGCTTTAGAAAAGTCCACAATTTCACGAAAGCCATCAACAATTTCTGAAGTTATCTCAATAAAAAGCATTCTTATGACAGATGAACATCCACCATTTCCAATTGTTGTAAGTCCACCATCTCCAGGTCTTAAACCAATTCATGATAGTGGTCATCTTACTCCACATACGCCAGGTACTCCAAGACGTAGACGTTCTCGTTCACCAAACAGATCACGTAGTCGTTCACGAAGTAGTTCTAAAATTGGTGTAGATAGCATCGAAGTGCATCAAATGCATTCACCTGAAAACCATTTTGATATTATTGTAGTCAATACAGATGCATTATGTAATAATTCAAAATTAACAGATTCACCAACATTTTTAAGTGTACCATCACCTCGGACAGATTCACCAACATTTTTAAATGTGCCATCATCTCGAACAGATTCACCAACATTTTTAAATGTGCCATCACCTCGGTCTGATATTGGGGTTGAAAATCGTGACCGTGACTTGTCATGTTCACCATCTGGTCATACACTTTCAGTAGCAACAGAATCTGATACAAGAGGATATTTATCGGCACCACCATCTCTTATATCTCGTACTAGTTTTAGTCGTCGAAAATCACCATCTCGACCAACGATTGTGATAGCACCAGCAATAACAATCAGTGATGAAGCATGTGATGGTGATAAAAATGATTTATCAATCCATTCTAGTGTGACCTGTCCACCATCACCTATATCCACATATGAAGAAAAGATTAGTGCAAGTTTCACTGAATCAGATCGAGTTGGAAATGTAGATCCATTTAAGGCTTTCCCGGGATTAGAAACAAGACATAAAATTCGGATTGCGATATTTAGTGGAGCATTTGCTATTTTAATGGCTTGTGGAATCCTTACCTATGATTTCGTAGAATTGGGTATGGGAACTAATGTATTTGGATAGTCAATGTATTTTTGATAAATGAATGAATGTAGTTTTAGTAGTTTTGTTGGATGTATTTTAGGTTTTATTGTATAAAAAAAAAAAAAAAAAAGAGATGTAGTTTATCAGAATTGAATTCTACAATTCGAAAAGTATTATATTTAAAATAAAGCCACAAAATTAATTTTTAGAATCATTTAAATTTATATGTCCGGTGTATATGCAATGTATAATAATATTTTTTTTGATGTGTTTAAACAATATCTTTTTCGAGTAGAATGAAGAGAGGATGTTCTATAGAATAGGTGGGCAGTATAAGAAATAAGCTTCGCTAATGATTAGTAATCATTAATTTTTAATATATTCAGCGGAGTTTAGCGGAGTTTGCCCACCTATTCTATAGAACATCCTATATTACTATTTTTTAATATTATTTACATTTTATTCTTCTACACATTTACCTTTTTACCCTTTTAGAACAGTTATA